TCCAAAAAGCTGTAATTGGAAGATGATTACAAAATTACAGGAATAATAATTTTGTGTAAAGTACTCATTTTATCATAGGTCATTATTATATCACAGACTTATTTCATTATTCTGCTTAATTTCTTTCCTTTAGATAAGGGTGGATGGAATAGTGGGACTATCTATCAATTATTCAGAACAATCTCTTTTTAAATATTTATTTTTCTATATGCTTTAATATCACTGTTTTATTAGTATCAGTTAACATAATGCCAGTGTAATTAAAAGCCTTTACTTGTTTTTTGCCTTTATGAAATAAACACAGAAATGGTTTAGTTTTAAGAGATTCCTTTTATATTGCTAGAATGATAAAAATGTTATGTGAAATCACTTCATGTTGTCATGTATATTTAATTTGGCCAGAATTTGACAACCTTTATTTACTTAGGCATTAATTTGCTTATATATAGATATATCTATATATCTATATATAATATAATTTTTAACTCAATATTTTACTAGAAAAATTTAAAATTCTTTATTAATTCAATGTTATCATATCCACTTTATATTATTTAAATTACTTAGATTAATTATTTAAATTATTAATCACAGTGAAAAAATGTGGTTAATCTAGACCCTCACTTTATTTCTTAGAACTACTGTAGCAAAAAGTATAGAGGTTATAAAGGCCGTCTTGTATTCCTAAAAAGTGAATAAAAGTTTGTAAAATGAGTAGTCATATTTGAAAAACATTTTACTTATATTTTTATGTCAGAAAAACTTCCTGTATTAGTTATTTCAAACTCTAGTGGCAATTCTGCGTATGCTACTTTTAGAAAAAGGTATTTTTTACAAGGTTTGATTGTCATTTTCATGAAGAACAACTTTAATATTAGGTAATTTCTTTTTGTGATAAAATTAAGGTTTCATGAGTTAAATTTTTAAATTTAAAAATCAAATACTTGCCTGTATAATTCCTTGCAAGGCTGTTAATAATTTCACCTTTAACAAATTGTTACTAAGATAAGTAAATGTTAACGTTCATATTTGATTAAGAGCATAAAATAGTTACTTATGTGAAAGCTGAACTATCATAGAAAACCACTTTAATAATGATGCAAGAAATCATCTTTAAAAGATCCTTGAAAGATCAAAAGCTATAATGCTGTTGATGGAAAATCTAAAGACTTCTCTTAAGTTTTAAATGAAGGCCAACAAGGGAGTTTTCCCTCTTGTGTGCATTGTTTATGAAGCCTGCTGCTAATTCTTTTTTCCTTTACACTTCCATCCTGGCTGCTAAATTCCTGCTTCTGTGAAAATACAGAAAAATGAAAGCAGGTGGTCCTCACATCTACCCCAGACACCTGCAGTGTCAAGCATGCTTGTGTCCCAGTGCTTGATATTTTAACCCAGGATTTTGAGGGAGGAAAGGTAGGGAGGCACTAGATGAAATCATTTACGGAAATATTTTTTCTGGGTATATATTTTTCAATCATTCTTGAAATACAGCTTTGGGATTTTTCTTTAGACTGTTGGAATGATTACTTTCTTGGAATAAAGAGTTTACTGATGATTACTTAATGAGCAATTATTAATGGACAACTGATGATGTCCTTCCAGCAATGGTTTTTAATTGTGGCAGGCGGAATGTTGTTTAGAAATATTTAGTTGGAAATAGTTAATTGGAATTTGTGGAGAAGATTAAGAGAAAGAATGAGATTTTTTTAAAAAAATTAAGCACCCCACCAGCAGAACATTCAGAGCTCCATACTTTTGAGGGAGACTCTACCTCTGAGAGCAAGATGCACCTTAAAGTTTCACACTAAATAAAAATTACCTAGTAGCCAATAATAGATGAAAAGCATGCTTCAGAAAGGCCAATCCTCATCCTTGTTTACAGCAAGTGTAAAACCAGATTTCTAATCTGCCCAAGCGACAATCACCTATTGATTGAAAGGACATCTGTGCCCCTGTTTTTGGAAGCAGGGTTTTCTGTGCGGCAGGCCTGAAAAATCCGTCCATTTCCGTGCCCTGTTCAATAAACACAGGACAGAGCTGTCAGGAAGGAGCCTTGAAACCCACACCTGGGCTTGCTCCTTTTTTTTTTTTTTTTCCTTTCTTTTACCTAGGGATGGACCCAATTAAAAGTCCTCCCTTCAGCCTTCCGAAGTTACTCCTTTCATTATTGTAATCAACGAAGAAGAAGCATCTCTAGAACTCATGTGGTACCCTTTTGCAGACAAAGGCTCTAATGCTTTGTGCACCACCAAATACATCCTCCTCCGCCCCAGGCCATTCCTCTGCGTCCTAAACTCAGTTCAGCTGTGAGGCTGGACAAGGAACTCAAAAGATCAGAGCCTCTTAACCCTTTACTTACCCTAGAGTTTCCTGGGAATAAAGGCTCTTAAAAACACAGGTGAAACAGGGTGGGGGAGGAGTGGTGAAGGGAGTTGGGGCTGGGTAGGTTTGGTAGGTTGGCACCCGCGGGGGAGGGGGAGGGAATCACTCAATTCTAGACCACTTGCTTCACACAAAGTGCCCGAGCTCAGGACAGTTTGCCAGCTGCAAACTGGACCAAGGCACTGATGGAATCACCTGGGAATGGGAACCCTGGGAAGGGGATGGGGGAGGCATGGATGGGGGACAAAGCCAAGCTCGAAACCCGCCCCTCCCCCAAGTATATTCTGCTTGGTAGCCCAGCACAAGCAGAAGTGGATTCATTTCCCGCACTCGTCTCTCAAGTTCACACTCAAGTTCAACCCCAACTCCCACAAGCTTGTGAATAGCTTGTATCTTTCTTTTTCAGTCCTCAAGGAACAGCTCCTGATGACGGGCAGGGCATTGTCCCCACGGTGCTCGAAAGTCAGTAGAGAGACAGTGAAGGGATAGAAGAGGAGAGGCTGTGAAGGTAAGAGAGAGACTTGGCCTTCACTTTTGGCCCAGCAGGGCCCCCAGGCTGTCTCTGTCCCCTAAGTTAGAACTTGTAAGGTCTCCGGGAGCCTGGTGCCTAGGACAAGGACGTGGGGTCGCACTGGGTTTCTCAAGGTGGCTTTCACCTCTTCAAGCTCCTGGGTCCACAAGCACCCTGAAAGGAACTCGGACTGTCCCCGGCAGACAGCCCCTGCGGGAGCTTCGCGGTGAAGGTGTAGCCTACTCTGAGCCCCTTTCTATTCCTCAGTGCAAGGAGGGAGCCAGCAGCCTTTATGCCCCAGGTCCTAGTGCCCGCTATGAACTGCTGTGCACGTGGTTTTAGATGTTTAGCAAAGTATGAACACAGCCACAGGGGTGATGTCGGAAGGGGAGGAAAAGGGAAAGACCGGCTGGAAGTTTCAGACAGGAGCAAGGGAAACCAGAGGAAGGTGGATGGGATGATGAGACGGGACAGAAAAAATTCGAAGACTGGGGAGGCTCTCCTTAAGTAACAGTGCTTTTTCACCAGCTGCCCAACTACTGTTTCTTGACTACCGGAACATGTGACTCACCCCCACCCCGACAGTCGAGCACTCCGATCCCCAATCTCCTGCACGGGTTAATCAAGACTATCCCACCAGGACATCCTTGTCTCTTATCTACACTCGTCCCCTCGCATTCCGCGGGCAGCTTCTTTCCGTCTGTCTGTCCCTCTACCACCTTCTGTTTCCTGCTACGTCCCAAGGTCCAAGCCAGCTAGTCCATTCTATGCCCCTGGGGCTGAGCTCAGGGCTCATCCAGTGCCCGCGGGGCGCAGAGGTGGGGGCAAGGCTCATTGTCTCTTGGGGCCTTCTCAGAGGTATAGGAGGAGTGGTGGAAAAGGAACGAAGGAAGCGCATGATAGGCGAGTGTTTGCAGCCTGGTTCTCTCCAACGCTTCCTGCCTGGATCACCTCTTTCCAAGATTGAGGATGTAGGAAGGTCCGCAGCTGACCAATCCCAACTTTCTGTTGCCAGAATCCGAAGGTTGTGAGAAGGGGAGGAAAGAGCCCCCAAAGAACCGCAGGGTGGTCGGGAACAGAAGCTAGGAGGTGAGGGTGCTCAGGTCCTTAAGCCAAGCCGAGACCCTGCTGTCTTTTTAAGGAAACTGTGAAGTTGTGATCGACTGGAAAGTGAGGGTGTGGGGATCCAGGCAGAGAGCGCAGGAAACCTAGAGGTCCTCCGCACCAAAGAGGAGACAGATAAAATGACTCCCCAGAGTCCCTGGCCAGCCGCTCAGGTATCCCAGAGTGCGGTCACCGCAGGTGTTTCCACCCTGTCCAGAGCTCGCCGCCACGCTGCTGCCTGTTTGCCCCTGGGTCCTGCTGTCGGCCGCTGGGGTCCAGGCCTGAGGGCGCAACCAGTGGGGCCTCCCGCAACTGCCTTCATCTGACAGAAGGGCAAGAGCCGCTGATTACTGCGCCGCCGCACGGGGCGCGGTCCTATTCTCCCGAACTTTCTCGCTACAACTTTTTTTTGGGATAGCGCTGGTCCCTGGGCTGCGCGGACGCAGGCAATGCCGGCCCGACCAGGGAGGAGAGGCGACGCAAGGGAGAGCTCGGGAGCGGGTTCCGCGTCCGCGTCATCCCAGGACCCTCTGTCTAGTGCTCCTGCGAAGGGACGCGCTTCGGGCTGGGGCGCGCGCGGACCCGGCACCCCGCAGATGCGTGCGCCCTGGCGCGTCTGCTCTGCGCTCCGCACGCCCAGCCTCCGCCCGTGGCCACTGCGTGCGAGGCGCTGCCAGCTGCCTGTGCCCGGAGTCGCCCGCCCCACGCTCCTGCAGCCCGCACCTGCTACCGCGCCCGAGGGAGAGCGCCGCGCAAAACAGATCGGGGCAACTCGAGAACTGGGAGCAAGCATGTAGCCCAGCTCCCCTTTCCAAAAACAGCGCTCTCCTGAGTCCCAGAAAAACTCCCCAGAGGCGTCAGGACCTCCCCACAACTTTCTCAGCCCGTGCCCTCTGCAGCCCCACCTGCTAAGGCGGTCTAGCGCGGCGCCTCCCCTCCCCCACTCCCCATCGGGCTGGAGTTGGCCGGGTCTGGGGACCCTCGGTGCCGCGGGCTCGCTTACCTCGCATGGTGTGGCCGCTGTCCCGCTCCGCGTAGTCATGAAGCTGCTGCCAGCCCGAACCCCAGAGAGCCCAAAAATCCCGCTCAGCAGGCGTGGAGTAGGGGGTCGGCGACCAGCAGCCGCGCCGCGAGCACCATCCCTCCGGGCGCACTCTGCGGCCGCGGGCTGACCGGGGCCGCCGCCGGGTTCAGCGCTGACGGTGGCGGTGCTGACTGTTTTGATGGCTGTTGGTTTGTTTGTTTGCTTTCAGAAAGGGTGAAAAAAATGTCCTGGGCGGTTGGTGCCTGGGTTTTGTTTTGCTTTTTTTCTTTCTCTCCAGTGTGCTTGCTTTTTAAAAATGTCACCGCCTCCGGGCTGAGAAGATTTCTTTTGTGATCACTTGGACTGAGGAGGAGGAGGAAGGGCAGGAGCAGGAGGAGGAGTTGGTGGTGGTTTTGTTAGTTACAAAGAAGAGGGAGAAGGAGCAATGGGGGGGAAAAAAGGAAACAGAAAAGAAAGAAAGGCGACGTGGATGGCAGAGCATGTGCGTTTTCACATGACATCTGTGCCTGTTAGCGGATCCACGATGTTAATTTTCACTGTTCAGTTACAGAGAGGAAGGGAGCGAGAGAAAGAGGAGAGAGATGGAGAGAAGGAGCCGAGAAGGGGCTTATACGGCGGGCCGGGTTCCGCGGAGACTTCAGGCCCCGCCTCCTGTCAGCGCCGCTGCCAATCAGCGCCCGGCAGCGCTCCGAGGGGCGGGGTCCGGCGGCGGGGCGGCGGGAGGCGGGGCCGGGGCTGGGACCCGGGAGTGGGGCGGCCGCGGCCCCCGAGGATTGGAGGCTCCGAGCGGAAGTGCCCAGGGGAGAATCGGGTAGATCTGCAGGTGACTCTCGGTTGTGCCTCAGGAGCCTGGCGGGGGACGCTGGCCAGTCCTCTGAGAGGCACAGAGAAGCGGGGACTACCGGGTCCCACGTTCTGTCCCTCTCTGGCGACGCCTGTGGCCCTGTTTACTTAGGCGTGAACTGGTGGCAGCTCTTTGCAGGGCTCTGTTACAGGGAACTCCGCAGCTCTGAGGAGGGGCGTGCAAGGACACGGACGGGATGCTTCAGTTTTAGTGACCCAAGAGTACAAAACCACTTCCCTCACTTTCAGCACAGCTATAGTGCATTCTCCGTGCTAGTCTTCCACTTGCTTTAAAAACACTGTTCAGATGCTTTCTGTCCCCCGTTTTAAAAAAGCCCTGAGCTGTGTGTGTGTGTGTGTGTGTGTGTGTGTGTGTGTGTGTGTGTCTGTGCTTTCTCTTGTCAACAAATCTGATTTTTGGAGGATTTGCTGAAGATGGGCTCCAGGACTCCAGGTAAACCTAAGCTGGCAGTGTGACCACCGAGTGATGCTTTCTGAGCTCTTTAGCTGCTGCAAGGGTTTAGGATTAGGAAACAGTTGATTGTAGTTGTTCCTGACTACATTTACCTATTTAAAGGAGGTTGCAATGAAAGCTAGATAAAGTTATTGGTACTGAGGTGCAATTTGTTATCTACACACATTTATTTGTATTTTGTTAAAACTCTAATACATACATCTAAACTGTCCCTTTGCAAGGTTTTCCTCTCTGTGGGCAACTAACATACCATATACGTGACTGCATCTACTTCCTTCCGTATAGTAGGGGCTTTCATAAATAATTGTGTTAGCTGGTCACCCTAAAAGACAGGGAGGCAAAAATGTTTGCCGGAGTTTTCCAGTCTCAGGACATTGAGACATGTATTCATCAGGTACCTGCTGGCAAATCAGACCTTATCATTATTTAGGTACTCAAATAATTAGATCTTCCCCAGTATTTATGTGTATTTTGTCAGGTAACACAAAATATATCAGAGACTCAGCGATTTATTGAGTTAATTAGACCATCTACACTGCCAAGTTTCCCCCCTTCCTACTAAATAAAAAAATTAGTTCTTACTAAACCTTCACCAATGTTAATGGACACGGTCCTGCTGTATGCCCTCCCATTTGCAAGCCAATGTATAATTTAAGAAATTTTTGGTACTGAGTGAAAGTTGATTGAGTTATTAATTAAATGAGATGAACAAAAGGAATTCAGGATAGTTATTCCCTTATAAATATCTTCCTCCTAGATTTGTAATTGACACAGTAGTTAATCTTTTAAGATAATATTTAAGGCTCCCTGGTTTTATCATTTTTAATCAAGTAAAATATATTCATCATAACTACATTAAAGCTGTACCAAGTTATGCCTAATTTAGTTGCTTCATTAAAAATTACTGCATATAAAATAGTCAAGAAACAAATTGTGACTATATCATTTTAATTTCATGTGCTTCAAGCAGAGACACAGAAATATTGAAAGTTTCAAAGCCTTTGTAAACATTATAATTATTATTGTTTTTATTTTAGATTTTTATTTCTTATTAGAGTGCAGAGCAATTCCAAAATTAAAGAATTTTAACTCTTTTATGTACTTTTGAGTTTCCAGTTATTTATTGAATTCTGAAACTTCTTTTACTATTGCAACATCTATAATACTTAATACAGATAGTCAAGACCAGTAGCAAAGGTACTTTCTTCTTCTTATGCATTTTTAAATGCCCTCTGCTTTGGTAATTTACAATACATGGTTTTGTTTAGAATGTATTTCTTGATCCTTTCTGAATATTTTATACATGTCAACTAGAAATAAAGCCATCAGTTATGTTATTTTATTTTTTCCAAACTGTATTATATATATATGGTTATGTGAAAGTATTTATTTTCTCTTTTAGAGTGAAGTAAATGTTTATGCTTGATTAACATGCGGTGATCTAAGATACTTTGGACTTTCCTAAAAATTTAAAAACTGAATTCTTCAGTGCTTGTAATAACATCTCCATTTATTTCAACTGAATGGAATCCATTTGTGTAGAACAATTATTCAATATTTAAATGAAAGAAAATATTTCTTAGCAATCATACAATATTTATATATTTATAATCTACCAGCAAATCATATCTCAAGTGACATAATACTATATTAATATTATATACTCATCTGTGTGAAGTACAGTGTCAGTAATTTTATTTGAGTAACTATACAACTGTATGTTTTCCTATCATTTTAAATTTTTGCCTTAAGCTCTGGGCCTGAAGGTTGGAAGCTCAATTTTGATTAATTTCAGTGATAATTAGTCACACGGTGCTGTATACAATTGGAAGAACTGATATAATTTCATTTGGGATGGCCTGTTTACTTGTTTTCCTGGAAGGTCAGCACCTTTTAGGGTTAGCAGTAAGGATGAGTTATTAATGATGAGGAGTATCCTCAAGGAGAAAAAGCTTTCATATTAGCAAACCAGGTAAGGTGGCATAACATTCAAGATGATTTAAATCCTATAATAATTGAAGCAGAGAAGCAAATCATAGTTCATTGTATTCTGGTTGATTAGTTTATACATAAAGTGTACTTTAAATGGTTATGAGTCTTAGGGATACATTGGCAGTTCTTGGACAATATGACACTTGGCCTGATAGAAAGATAGGGTGGTGTTAGCCCACTTCAGGCAGTAGTGTGGTTGAGAAAGTTGAGAGACCTAAAACTACCTTTGAATATTGGAAAATCCAGAAAATATAAAAGAATTTTAAAATGTGAACCTATTGGAAATGAAAACTGTGACTGATACTTTCAGCTTCCTCTTGTTCCAGAAAGCATTGAACAGAAGAGTCTGATAGAGATGCTCTAGTATAGACTCTGTACTAGATTGGAAATTGCCTAGAATACCTCCTACATCCTCTGTAGATTTAAGTGTATTTAGGAAAAGGCACCTACCATACCCCAGAAGCTGTATCAGAGAGAGGTGTGCTTTTCACCTGAGCAGAAGCAAGGACTTTCGTAGCTCCTGGTGCTATGTAGGTGCTAGACACTGGTGAAGAGAAAGCTTTCTACCCTTTTGTCCACATGAACCACAAATTTGGCAAAGTAATAATATCTTTCTTAGTTTCTAAAGGACAGGAGGGGACAAGGGAGAAGAGAAGAGGGAGAGAGAGAGAGGAGACTCTTTGCATAATGGTTGAGGTTGATTATATAATTATGAAAGAAAGTTGAATAAAGTCATTTTTCTAGTACTATTCTCAATTTGATCACAGATAGAGAGGCTTCATGATCAATACTTTAAGTTCTGGTTCATTTTTTATTTCAAAGAGAATAAGAAACAATAACATAGACAAAAACAACACAAAACAAAAACAATAAAAATGATACAGGGTTTCAAAACAAAAGATAAAAATTAACAGCGGTGGTCTCTGGTTCATTTAAAATGTGGATGCAAAGTAGGTAAAAATCTTGAAGACATAGGGGTAGGCAGAGAGTTCATGAACAAAAACCGAACTACATGTGAAATACTTCAAAGAATTGACAACTGGGATCTCATCCTACTGAAAAGTTTCTGCACATCTAAAGAAATTGCTAGCAAAGTAAAAAGAAAACCCACAAATTGGGAAAAAATTCTAGCTGACTGTCCCTTGGACAAAGGTTTTCTATCTAGAACATGTAAAGAATTAAAAAATATCAGCACCTCCCAAATTCAAAGACCCAATTCAAAAATGGGCATCTGAGATAAACACACAGTTCTCAGATAAAGAAATACATATGGCAAATAAATACATGGGAAAATGCTGAAATCATTAGTCATTTGAGAAATGCAAATTGAAACAACATTGAGATTTCATCTCACCCCAGTACGAATGGCTAGCATTAAGAAATCAACCAATAACAAATGCTGGTGAGGCTGTGGAGAAATAGGAACTCTTCTCCACTGCTGGTGGGAATGCAGACTGGTGAAACCACTGTGGAAATCAGTCTGGAGATTCCTTAGCAAACAAGGTCTAGAGGTCCCATTCAACCCAGCTATTCCCCCTCTGGGTATTTTCCTAGAAGATCTGAAAATATCATATCATAGCAATATATGTGCACCCATGTTCACAGCAGCACAATTTGTGATAGCTAAATTGTGGAAGCAACCCAAATGTCCATCCACTGAGGATTGGATAAAAAAATTGTGGTACTCTTACGTACAATGGAATATTACTCAGCTATAAAGAAAGATAACCTCAAGGCTTTTACAGGAAATGGTCACAACTAGAGACAATACTCATAAGTGAAATAAGTCAGACCTGCATGTGTAAGAATCGTATTGCCTCACTAATGTAAGACCTGAAAGAGTGAATAAAAATTAGGAGGTATGATAGACATTGTGAAACAAAAGGAAAATGCTCAAAAGTAAAGGTCAACTGGGATGTGGGAGAAGAGAAGGGAAAAAAGGGGAATTATGTAAGTGTATATTCATAGGATAGCTGACATAGTTGTACTACTGTCTTCTATTTCTGTACAGAAAGCAACAGCTATTGATTACTTGTCTGAGTAATCCTGTACATCTCTGTTTTCTTGAGAAACCACTTTGAAGATATCAATAAGTAATACAACAGCCATTGTTAATTTCCAACAACTTTGTCTGTAACTCTGTTTTGTTTGTATTGTTCTTATGCTATTTTGTAAATGGATGTCTGTTTGTTAATGTTTTCCTTCTTTTATTTCTTAAAATAAAAGAAAAAGTATGGATGCAAGTTCAGCAAGTGT